GAGCTCCATCTTGAGTGCTTTCCCTCCATAATTCTTGCGTTAATGGAGATTCTTTTAAAATGATTTCTGGGTATTTATAGCCTTGCTTGTGGGCCGGGTCAATTTAGATCCGCTTGCTAAGGAATAGAACTTATAGAACTTATGTGTTTGTCAAACTTGGGCCTTTTATACTTGGTTCTGGTGTAGAAACTAATGGCATGTTTACTTTCAAGAAATGGAGGAACTTAAGAATAAGGGAATAATGAATTCGTAATGGGTATCGGAATCATTCCAATTACTTATTCTACGGTAAAATCCGTAATCAAATACCTTCCAAACGAGGAATCATATCAACTAGGGGAAGAAGTTGATTCGATTCCAATTTCTTATTCTCAAATTCTTCAATTACTCGAATCATGACTTCCTATTCAGTGTAAGTAAACATGCCCTAGAATCAATAGCAGCTGTAAATTGGGAAAATATGAGCTAATTGAACAAATCCTAATGGTAGCAATTGGATTCAATAAGGAGAATATGACCGACCAACCTTATCCACCCATAAGATTAAAGCTCACATCTTTTACTCAACAAAGTCATTTATTCTTCTTGATGGAAGTCCAGTGTGAAATTCTAAATAGAGAATAGATGACTTTGTTGAGCAAATGATGAGTGAGTGAATGAGATTTTGATATGTGGAAAAAAAAAAATTAACCATCATATTGATTGATTTAAATTCAAGGAGCATTTCTGATACAAAAAAATTCATAAGAAAAAGCGTGTGTTGGTGTATTAATGACGGTGCCTCGTCATGTTGTGGCCCGACGTGTAGTTCACGTCGCACACGGATCAAACACAGTTGAAAGGCTTGGACTTTCAGACTGAGATCTTCAGAGATCCCCTTATTGCACAGATAGCTGGAGCACCTGGACCGGCATAGATCCAGGCTGGAAAGAAGGGAGGAGCCTTTGTCATCCAAAAGCAGGAAGCTCCAATTCCTCCAGCAGGGCCCGCTCCAGTTTCTCAAATTTGTGGGCAAATATTACTTAATTATGCATGCTATCTAGTGATTTAATTCTTTTCATTTCCTTGTATTTTTGGGAATGATAAGATTTATAGGAGTATATAACATAGTTGAGGCAAATTGCGTGTACTGATTGAATTGATTTGTCAGTTCTGTTTGACAAATTACAAGATGCATGGGCAATTACTCTACTTTAACAAAAGTAAAGAGGATCCTCTGAATTCATGCATATTTATTGGTACTTGGACATAATACAATATTCATAAGAAATGATATACATGTATGAAAATAGATAAACTTTTGGAATGGTTTCTTCAAGCACGTCGCTATGTGATTTTCACAGTTCTATGCCATCACTTTATGCCAACCACTTTCACAAGCCAATCGGGTGTTCTGTTAGAGAGTACAAGATATCCCACTGATATTCCAATTACCACCCCAGATGCATACCCCATCAACACTACCTTCCAATCAAATCCATTCTCGTGCTCCAAATCACCATCTTGTTGGAATGATGATGGCAGTGATTGATGTGGACCACATGTTTTTGCTAGTGGAAATCCACACAATCCTACATTCCCAATGTATGAATCATTTTCAAATGTATCAAATTGCTTGCCATGAGGTATGGGTCCGACAAGTTGGTTCTCTGAAACGCTGAACTTTTCAAGATATGTCAAACTTGTCAATTGCATCGGAATCTCACCAACAAGCATGTTTGAAGAGAGATCTAAGCATTCAAGATTGCTCAAACAGCCAAACGAGGGTGGAATTGTACATGTAAGCTCATTATGAGAAAAGCTAAGCCCCTTCAATGACTTAAGCTTACCGATTACATTTGGAATCTCTCCTTTGAAACTGTTGTTTGAGAAATCAATAGTTGTGAACAACATCAGGATCTTCACCATTTCAATTGTATTGCCGTTCATTGTCACCGCCACAGTATCCTGATAGTAGTCCTCTCCCACATATTTCGGTCTTTGTTCTTGCAAGTTTATCATGGCCGTCAAATGTTCAAAATATTTTGTGGGCAAGAGACCGCTAAACCAATTGTAGGAGAGGTCCATGATATGCAATTTTTGGAATGGAAACTTAGTTTTCGGAATGCCTATTTCACCATAGAATTTGTTAGACCTCAAGATAAGAACCTGCAAATTCAGAAGAGATTCCAGCCAATTTGGGAATGTATCATGAATTTTGTTGTTTCCAAGGTCTAGAACTTCCAACTCTCTACATGCGAGCAAAGTTTGCGGCAACGACCCTTCCAACTAATTTCCATTAAGATCAAGATTTCTCATATCGTTTCCCTTAGAAAATGTCCTAGGAATCATGCCATGAAATTTATTATTCCGTAGATCCAAAACAGAGAGGCTCTGGCTGAAGTTCCCTATGCATTGATGAATTTTGCCACTCAATTTATTATTAGACAAATCAAGGATTTGAAGGCTACTCAAGCTGCAAATGGTTGGAGGCATCTCTCCGGTCAATTGGTTGTTTGATATGGAAAAGAAAAATGTGGAAGGTGATGGAATTGGAAGCTCTCCTTGGAGAGAATTGTTGCGAAGGTTGAGATATCCAAGGTTTTTCCACCGAAGGTGTCGTGCAGTGCCCTTCAAAAAGTTGTGAGAAAGATCCAAATAATACAATGAATCTTTTGCGACATCCCACAACCATTTGGGAACTTCGCCTTGAATTCGGTTGTAGGAAAGGTTTAACCTGTCCAAATTTGGTGAGGCTCTTAGAAAGTATGGGAACTCACTTATGTTGCAAGACGACAAAGCTAGGTCGAAAAGTTGAGGCCAGCTGTTGTTACTCAAATGGTTGAAACTCAAGGATAGATGGTTAGAGGAAAGATCAAGCGAAAAAAGACTTTGGAGTTTTGAGAACTTTTCAAACTTCACAGTGCCACTCAAGTTATTGGATGATAGATCAAGGTATTGAAGGTTCTCAAGTTCAAAGATTGATCTCGGAATCAGGCCATGCAGCTTGTTATCATTTAAAAAAAGGATTTTCAAAGAACGAGATTGGAACTCAATGATATTACCGCTTTGGTTACTTCGGAGGTATAACCCCTCCAATGATGGCAAACTACCTAACCAAGATGGTATTGTTCCATTGAGTTGGTTCCCATATAAAAAAAAGCATGGTTAAGTGTCCAGCAATGGGACCCACTAGTTGTTGTTTTGAAAAATCATGTAAAGAAGAGATCGATGTCGAGTTGCTATCAACTTCTGGAAACTGACCGACATAATTGTTGTCACTAAGATCCAAGACAACGAGGCTCACAAGGTTTAAAAATAACGACCATGGGATTTGGCCACCAAAACTGTTAGACGAGAGGTCCAACTCCATGATTTGTGTGAGGTTACCAGGTAATGCAGGATATGATCCTACAAAACTGCAATTGCTGAGATACAAAACTCTCAAAGACTTGAAATTTCTTGTCAGACGATACCAATCTACTGAAATTCTAGTTTCAGAGAGCTTCAAGGTTTCGAGTGGACTGCTCCAGTTAGAATTGGGGAAAGAACCTATGAGGTTATAGTTATACCTTAAATCTACAAGTCGAAGATTTGGTCGGTGGAAAATGCTTTCTGGGAATTTTCCTCACAAGTGGCAATCAATGAGTGTAAGAGTTTTCAAAGAAGAAGATAGATTCTTGAAGGAATCGGGTACAACTGAAGACATGTCAACACCATCCAGTTGAAGCTCCTGAAGATTGGTTAGGTTTTGAACAATTCTGTTAAAGCTAAGAGTATCTAGTCTTACATCACGTAGGGAGAGATTGAGTGAAACCAAGTTGGAAAGGTGGGAAATTTCGGAAGGGATTGGGCCATTGAAATTGGAGAAAGAGAGGTCAAGGTGAGTCATACTTACAAAGCCACCAAATTTGGACAAAATTGGGGAACCTCTGAAATCATTTTTAGAGAGGTCTAGCCTCTTGAGATGGCCAAGAGAGAATAAGCTACTATTGGAATGGATATTGCCTTGAAGCCCACCAAAATGAAGGTTGAGACCGATCACATGACCAGTCATCTTTTCACAAGTGACTCCACTCCACGCGCAACAATCCTTGCCTTTCTGCCAAGTAATTGTACTATTAGAATAAAGAGTTGGTCCATTAAATGATTCAACTTCATGAGAGGAGGTATCAATAGAAAAGGAGTTTTTGAATTGAAGCAAAGCAGAGCTGTCGTGGGGATGGCATAAATGCCCTGAAGAAAGAGAAGAGGAAGAGTTAGATGATGAAGAAAAAGTAGAGTTGAATTGACAAGTAGTAAAGAGCAGGAAGAGGAGGCACAACCAACCCATCTTTCCTTCAAGTAGAGTTGAAGCAAAGCAGTATATTCTTCTAAATAATTTTGTGAGCAACTCTATCCTGGAGACGTTGATATTTATAACAAGCTTCGTGAACAGTGATTTATCTATGATGTCGACATGAGATGGCAAGTACTTGAGTTTGTTTCATGGAAAATCTTTTGGAAAATTTTGCAACCAAGGCGTTGATTTGATATTTGGTGTTTGGTCTTGGTAGGTATAATTTCTGCGTGTTCAAATGGTCTTGGTAGTCAAAAGTTGTCCAAATATGATTCACATTCTTTGTGTAGACCAAATATGATTCACATTTGCCCTCTCCTTCACGCTGATTCTTCTCATCTCTGTGCCTCTGCTAACTTTGTCTCTGCCCTTAGGCCTTTTGTCCAATCTGTGAATCAACTTTCAGAGCAAATTCACACAGGTAAAAAAAGCATTTGCAGCTTTGCATTCTCATTTAGGATCACCTTCTTCAGAAAAGAATGGCATAACTATATAGAAATTTGCTAATACATATATTAATTCTTTCTTGAAATTTCCACCCCAAAATCTTACAATCCAAAAAACTCCCACATTCACTTCCCCTTCATCTTCCTCCTTCTCTTCACCTTCTTCTTGCCAACCTATCAAAATGTTTCAGTCTCTATACAATACCACTCTCTCCAAATCGGGTGACTCAACCCTCATCCAATGGTCCGATGTCAATTCTTCTCCCAAGCTCGACTGGCTTTGCATCTACTCAACCCCTTCCTCACACCACGACAACTTCATCAGCTACAAGTTCCTCTCCTCCAGCCCCATTCGGAAATCCGGGTTGGACTCCATTTCCCTCCCCTTGATCAACCTCCTATGCAACTACTCCAAGAACCACGAAAGTTCCAGCAAGACCACCCAAGTCGACCAAACCAATTGACTGTCCCCAGAAACGTATGGATCCAGGATAGATCTGAGGAACACCCAAATTTGCAAAAAAAAAAGCAACCAAGTCCAAGCCAAAGTACCCACCACTCAGCTTCAGCCACAAACTCAAGACCACGGGACCAATGCCACCGCTACCCAGGTAGGAGGGGAAACCAATCGAGACACACGAGGCTGAAGAGTTTTTTGTTTTTTATATTTATATCTTTTTGCACAGTAGAAAGCATGAACAAATAATTGGGAAAAAAAAGGGTATGAGAGCATATATAAGAATCAGGCATAGGAGGGTGGGATTTGTTATGTGATTTGGTGTTTGTATTACATACTCAAAAGTCTCACACAACATGTTTATTTTCAACAGAATCGCCCACATACTTGCCACGTCGGGCGATGAGCTTACCTTCGAATTGGATCGGGGCTCGGATCAGATCTACCTGTCTTTTACCAATGCATTCGATGAGATGCGGGTCATGTTCGTGACGGTAGACGGCAGGAAGAGGACGGTTCGATATGGTTCGTGATTGCTTTGAAGGTAATCAAAGGATATATATATATGTTGCTTAAACTGTCTTTGCTATTGTTGCATTTTTGTGATGGGTATTCCTTTGAATGTTAAATTAGGACTGTTTCTTTTTTTCTTTTTTTTTTGGTCTGAACCACGAGGTGGTTCTGGATGGGCCCCAACTATGGGTGGCACCTTTAAGCCTTAACCACAACTCAGACTAATCCCCGCTCACACTGGGTCGGCCCGTAAGGGGTCAAGTGCTGGCCAAAGTGGTGACTCCATACGAAAGCAGGGATCGAACCCCTAACCTCTCTTAAGGAATGAGAGTGCCGAACCACTCACATCAACCACCTTGAGTAGGACTGTTTATTTTTTTCTTTTCTTCTTTTCTATGAATAATATAGGATTGCTTAAGATTTGAATGTTGTTATTAAACTGCTGTAGCAAAACCGTTTTGAAATGGGTTGGGTTTTTGTGTTGTTACTGCCTATATCATGTTGAGAAGCTTGAGCAGAGTAGCAAAATCATTATACTTATTTTTCCTGATGACACCTATGACGACGAATCCATATTTTGTCATCTCTAGCCTATAGGTAACCCATGCCGTTAAGAAACTATATTGATGATCCATTTTATCCAATATTACTAGATGTGACATGACTTCATGATATCCAATATTCACTTCCCTAAAACATAGAAATTCATTTCAGGTGGGACAATTTTGTAGCCCTATCTGAAGTTGTGAACAAAATCAGACTTACACATGTCAAGTTCCTGATCAATTGGATTCCAAATTCCAAACCATTTGGCAGTTGTTTGGATAAAGTCAAATGCTTGAAAGCAAAATTAGTGCATAAAAAAGCCACAGAATTTTGTTTCCATTTCTGAAAGGGATTGATTTTGTATTTTGCTGTTGTTGTTTTAAGTACAGGTGGCTGGAAGAATCCCTAAAGTCTTCATAAATGATATATGGGTCCTTCCTTCCTTCAAGGTACACACACAACTTAAAGCTCATTTTTTGTTAAGGGAGTTTCACCTAAAACCAAAGGGAGACATTCATAAAATTTGTCAAGCATCTAAATCCATCGATTTTGTCATTTATCCCTTATATATATGAACTATGCCCAAAATGACATCTAAATTTATCGATTTCTTAAAACTATACATGGTGGCAAGATGAAGAAGCTCTGCATCCTCATGCAGGTTAAATGCAATATCATTTATCCGTAGAAAAATTCGTCTCGTGTTGAGGCATTTTATCAA